ATACTTTTAAATAATAAAAACAATTATAAGTTATAAAATTAAAACTTATTCATATCACATTTTATCTTATTTACAACCATTAACAAAATAATCTTACATAATATAATCAAATAATATATATATAATATATCTAAATAATATATATATAATATATTCATAATCTAATAATATATATATAATATATTCATAATCTAATAATATATATATAGCATGACTAGATATAGAATTTATATAATTAATTTTTTTATTAAATAATTTGTATAATATATAAAATAATAATAATATAAAATCATAAAAGTATACTAATTTAAATTATTAATAAAATTATAATATAAAAGATTAAGAAGACAAATTATAACATTAAGTTAGATTAAGCTATCAATAAACTCTTAATATAGAAAATTGAAAAGAATTTCAAAACTTATATAAAAAAGCTAGAACAAGATTATAATTCTAATTCTGAACTCAAAAATAAAATTAAAGCTTGAGTTTAATTTTATATTTATTTATAAATTCAAAGTTAAAAATTCTATTACTATTAATAATATATAAATTATAAGATATATTTTTACTTTTTATGATCTAGTAATAGAAATTGATTATAATTATTAAACTAATATATATTATGTCATATATAAATAATAATAAAAATTTGTTATAATTATTATTTAAAAATAGAAATTATATATCAAGTTATCTGTATATTCTAATATCTCTTAAATGATAAGATAAATATAATTTATATATTACTTAATAAGCAGACTATAAATATTTTATCTTTGATAATGAATTCATAAATCAATCATTACTTAAATAATAACTCAAATGCAAATTATACTTAAGATTATTATAGTTTAATCTAAGTTATTTTATATAAATAAAAAATAACTATATTCTTATTCATAAAAATAATCTTATTTTAATTAAAATTTTAATATTACTTTATTTATTTTTTTTAATACTTCTTAAAAAGCAAAAATTTAGAAATTTTATTAATAAACTTGTTTTTAGCTTTATAAAAATATTATTTTATTATATAAAGATCTATTTTAAGATTAGTTTTTCTATTTTTTTATATTTTATTAGCTATTATATTATATTTCTTCTTTATTATTTTTATAATATATTCATCTTACTTTATTATCATAATATATAAATAATTTATTCTCTTTTTAATATTAAGATCTCTATTTTTTTTAATATTTTTCAATTCAATAAGTATCAGTAAACTTACTATAATGAATTTTTTTAGTTATTTTTTCAAAACTTCACTTTAAATTAGCAAAATATTGATATAAAAAAATAATTTCATATCTTTTCTTTAGTAAAAGCTCTATTTTTAAAGTTAAAAGTTTAATAATATCTAGATCTTCTAAAAATAAATATGCAAATTTATAAAAATACTAGTAATTATATATATATATGATATTTTATACATGAAAAATTTGAGAATTTGTTATAATATAATTTTACATAATACTATTTATTATTCAGATATTTTTGTTTGCTACTGTAAGTTATATTTCTTTTAGTTTAGTTTTTTATTTTATACTTTTTATATTATATTTATTAATTTATATTATTTTTTTTAAAGATTAATTTTATATTATATATAAATAATTATTATGTATTAAATTAATTAAATTAATTATATATTATGATAATAATTATTATATATTCTATAATTATTAATCTAAATTATTTATTATTTTTCTTTATTTTTCTTTATTATTATTTATATTATTATTTATTATTATTAATTTATTAAATTAAATATAATATTACTTTTTAAAAAATTAATTAATTTCATTAATTATATGGAATTAATATATATTTTAGCTTATTAATTTATAATTTATACTTCTTTTATTTTATATTTTTAAATTTCAGACTTAAATAAAGAAATACTAAAACAGGATAGTACAATCTGAATTGAGTTGATCTGGATTAATTTGATTTGGATTTACATATAATATTACATATAAAATAAAATAAACTTTTTGAGAAAATATTCTTATATTTCAAGAGTGAGAAGAGAAGAGAATGAAAACTAATTATACTTTTTATATTAAACACAAACTAATTAAGACTAATAATATTTATTACTATTAATATTAAGATATATATAACTGTTAAGACATGTACCAATATACTTACTCACCATACATACTTATAATTTCTTTATATACTTTCATCATTTCTCTATATTTTCATATTTTTCTATATTTTTATCATTTTTCTATTTCTCTCTAATATACAAGTAATAAATAAAAATTATCTCAGTATATTTAATATTAATAAATTATTTAAAGTTTTAGAAAAAGAATTTTATTAAAATTTATGACTACTTATTTTTAATATATAGATGTAATATAGTAGTTGAAAATGTAAGAATAATAATTTTTAAATTATTTACTTTTGCTATTTAGCAAAATATAGAGAATTAAGTATGTATAAAGAAGATATTTCCATTAAGAAGTAAAGAAAAATTAGTAAACTTAATTCTGAAAAGTGTGATGCAAGGATAAAAATAATACATATTACTTTAACTTAAATAATTTATATTGAATATTTTAAAAATATATCTAATTATAGCTATCTAATCAAAAATAATATCAAGATTAAATAATTTGAAATTATTAATAAATGATAGCTAACAAAGTAATAAAATCATATATATTACTGATCATTATGACTATTATTAAAAAACTAATAGTTTAGATATTATTAATCAAAATCTATGCCAAACTGAAATCATTAATATTTAGTAAAAGATATATAAGCTATTAATAATTTATCTTGTAAGTAAAACAGATCTAGAACTTAATATTTAAAATTCATTCAAGCTATTAATTAGCAAAGATTATAAAGTTAAATATTTTGAAATTACTTAACAATTATTAAAAGATTTTTACTTTGCAAGTTCTTGGCAATTAAAAAAACTATAATATTACAAATGACTTATGCTCATGAATTCTACTTATAATATTAATAAATATTTCTGATATCTATTTACTTTATATATTCATGATAATTACAATTCCTGAAATATGAATACATATTTTTTTCTAAGTAATAAAAATAATAATATAATAATCAAGATATTAAAAGTAATTTGAGAATTTGCATCTTATTAATATTCTTGATATGTATTTAATAATCAAAGTAATATGAAGATTAATAGTATTATAAATACCTTCTTTAGTATTATACGTGATAAGTAAAATTATAATTTTATGTACTATTCACATAATATGTATATGACTATATAATATCTATCATTTGGTAATATGTAATAAATTAATTCTAGTTATACATAAAAGAATAAGTATAAATTGTAAGAAAGTAATTTATAATATCATTATTATTTGTCTCATTCTAAATATTATTTGCTATATTTAATATAATTATTCAAAGAATATAGAGAAATAAATACTTTATGTATATCAATATTCATTTCTCTTACTTCAAGTTACTTTTATGAATTTATTAGAATTATTTTATAGTAAATTAAAAAGATTAATTATAAAGAAATATAACTTAATTAGTAAGCATTATCAACTGTGATTATATCATATTTTTTGCTATTATTATCATTACTAAATTACTATTTCTTGATTTGTTAGATGTATATTACAAGATTATTAAGCTTAATAATAAAAGTGATTAGATTTAGAAAAAATTATCTTTAACTTTTATCAAAAGTGAATCTCTGTAATTAATATTAATAATAAAACTATTAAGAAAATTTAAAAATTTCTATATCCAATTCAAAAACTAATCTTGAATAAGATTATCACTATAAATTTTAGGATTATGAAAGGAAAATCATCACCAAATCTGATATTATCAAATTATTATTATGTATTTTTTAATTATTATCTTCTTTCTTGTTAACATATTCTTTATAAATATCTATTTAGTTATAATAAATTATTAATAACTGATATTTAGAAGAAATTTCAGTAATTATTTATGAAAACTTGCTTTGAAATGTATGAGTATCAGAAAATAATCAAAATATCTGAGCTTGTTTAAACTTAAGAGAAAAGAGAGATAGAAATATATAAGTTGTAAGTAAATAAACTTATAAAAAGGATATAAGATAAATATTAAATAATAAAGGATAAAGATGATATAAATGCTACTAGAATATTTATTATCTATTTAAATAAATCATTAAATTCAGTTTTTAAAATAGTAATATAAATAATTTTATATTTAATTAGAAATAATTCAATAAAATAGCTAATTAAATAATTAAATAATCTATTCTTTTCTTTCTATTAATATAGATATCTAATATATCTAATAATTAAATATCCTTTAAATAATGATAATTAAGTTCTTAATTAAATGATCTAACTTTCTCTCTTCTCAGGCTCTTAAGTCACATGATTTGATTTGACCAATCATGAATTTTAACGTGATTAAAATCACATGATACGATTAGAGATGGGAGCCGCAACTAGCCGCAACTCTGTCGCAATTCTCTGATTGGCTGCCGCAAGCCGCAATTAGTTGAGGAGCCATCTTTAGATACGATCCCGCTTTAGTGGACCCTCTTAAATAGAAAAAGTATTGTGTAATATTTTCTAGTCATGATTACGAATCATGTGAATTTCAATCAAGTAGCACGGATCAATGTGTAATGAAAAATTCAAAAAAATTGAAAATGTTTCTTGCGAAATTTAACTATTTATTTGTGTGCGCAATAGATAATATAATCATAACTCAATACTCTAATCCTAACCTTAATGAAAAACGCTATTAACATTTCATATCTTACGATTTGATTGTTTACCCCTAAAATCACGCTATGATTAGCTTATCTACGAGTATATAATTACCCGTTTTTATATAACTTTTTTGTCTCGAAGATTGTTTATAGCAATGTCTGATAATAAATTCACGATTACTTTAAGCGAAAGTCTGTAGAATGGGAATTTCTAGTTTCTTCTGCTTGTTGTTCAAGACTTTTAGTCGACCTAATGGGAGAAGATGAAAATTAGCTAGATAATTGCAAAAAGATTGGATATTACTAAATTTGCTTCTTTTCATCTAAGGGCGATCGCCTGACTACCACAAGTCACGAAGGTGGGAGAATGAGTCTATGCAGTCTAAGCCAGTTGGCGGATCCTCGGTTCACTTTCACAACTTAAAAATTGCGGATAGCTCCGTAGTAAAATTAAATAACGCAACTTTAGGAAACGTTGATATGTCTGAAGAATCAAAGCAAAAAGATCAGGAAGAGATGGTTTTCAAATTATGATAATCATGATCCGGTTATAGAGCTTCTTCATTTTTATTCTTTATCACAAAGGATTCTCGGGAAAAACCTTAAGATTGACGATTTGCCACCTCTATTATAAGCTGATAAAAGGAATTAACGATACAAGAGAAAATAAAATGGCTTGTTTGACAGTGTGTGTATTAATTAGTCTTTTTGCGTCTTTAAATTCATCACTAACATATTATTATATAGTCGGATATTGTTGATCTTAGGGCTAAGAATATCTTCCCGTATCCCACTCATCCCGTGCTGACGAATTTCTTTCGGATATTGAGGTTCAAAAACTCCAGCAAATGTGTACCGAAATTATAAAAGAGGAATCACAATTGAATCCATCCGTTCTGACGTTTAAAAAATTCAGTTGAGAAAAGCGTGCTCGAGGAATTGAGGGTATTTGCTCCTTGCTTAACATTGAAATCGGTATGGTGGTCATATATGACAAAGACACACAGTATATTGGAGAGTGTTTGGATGCCTTGTAAGTTTTTAATAAAAATTCCTAATTATACTCCTTTATTGAATGGTGTATAGAAAGAACCATCGATATGTATCTTATTGGTCCATTTTCGAAAGTGGGTATCGATTACCGGTGATGGAGCTATTAACTTATACATGTTGTAAATATTATTAGGCGTAAATTAAATTTGATAATAATATACATTGAGTTTGATAGTCATTCTATCGTTATCGTAATATTACATATTCACCTGATTGGTCGGGATGATTAGTGGGGTACTATTCAAAAATATCCCCACTCGAAGTTAAATAATACCCCCCTACTATACCAGGGGGTATTTTAGTAGTAAGTGCTATACGGTAAATGAATCATGCACGTAATACGTAACGAAAATCATAAATTAGTATAATTCGGAATGTAACAATATCGATATTTCCTTTGTGGGATTAAAAAAATAAAAGAAAATTGTATAACAATGATACTTGTAATTTATTAATATATCAAAGTATTATATGCACATAATTAGATTTGAAAATAACCTCTAATGCACTCTCCTTATAAATTCTCCCTCCTTACAATTTAGTCCACTCAATACGCTTGGAATAATATTGAGCTATAATAATTTGATGAAAAGGTCAGTTAGATAAAATTCTATATATTTTTAATCTGCTTATTCAGATCTTTTTATGTGTGTTGTGACTTCGATACACTCAAATTTTTATTCTGACAGAACATATTTACATCGAAAAAGATTTAACTATAACTTTGAAATCATTAAATAAATTACATACAACCTACAGAATAAAATTACAGTAAAAATTAAAAAAATTTAAAAGTTAGTACAGATTTCTCCCGCCATAGTCACACCCACAATTGTATATAATTTTGATTGCAATCTCGTAATAGGCAAATAAAATGCTTTACTGGGCCATGCGACTGTAGCGGGCGGCGAACGCGATTAAAGGGTTATTGGCGACTCTTGTTTAATGTCTGATTAGTAATTATGGCTATATTAATTAATTTGTAAAAAATAAAGTTCATTGTTTTTTAAGATATAATCTCTCTCCTCGATCAAAATTGTATCATAATAACGGGATTCCGGCACTTGATTTCCTTCCATGGGGATCCATTGTGCCAAGTGTACCTTGTTGCGATTGCGAAATTAAAGGTGGTGTACCGAACGAAGAAAGTATTGACATGGTAATTGAACGATAAAGCCCACCTCCTCGATACCATGCCGAATTTTTTCGACGTGGGCAATTATTACGATTATTATTATTATTATTATTAATGTTTGTAGATGAAGAAGTCATCGATTGATTCGATGAACTTTCGAATTCATCATTCAAGATTTGTGAATGTGTTTGTGATGGTGGCTGTAGCTGTGATTGTAGTTGTAATGGTGATTGTGATGGAGACGATGCTTCTAAATTATTCATTGGTGGTTGTGATGATGACCGGTCAAAACCATGCATCATTTGTGGCGATGCCCAAGACGGGTTGTAATTCGGATTGGGATTGATGTTGCTACTTTCTGGTATTATTGGTAATGGAGAAGATGGAGGCCATGATGGAACATACAAGGAAAAATAATTGATTGTCGATGATGTTGTTTCGTTCTTTATCGTGCTTTATTTTTAAATAAATTTATTTTAGTTGAAGTGAATAAATTTTTAACATAGGTAAGCAGTTAGCATTTTTTTTTACTCACTTGATCGCTATTGCTATAACAGTCACCAAAATCATAAATGGAGAGAGTAGAATCCAAGTGAATGCCAGAAACCTGCTCGCATGAATTAACGTGTATTCACGAAAGAATGCAAAAATAAACAATGACACGGTAAAGAATAACATTGTCGCAATCATACAGCCAAGGATTAATTTCAACTGTTATTATAAATAAATGTTATTAATGGTTTAATAGAAAAAAGCAAGAATAAAGATCTCTCGCTTACTTTTAACAATCTCCGCCTGATTTCTTCCAATTGCATTTTCGACAATGCACCAGCAACACATCCAGGCCCAGTGAATTCTTTTAATTGTCCACGTAATATATCTAATAATCGATTACCGAAATAAACTAAGCCAGCCGCCATCAAGAAACATAATAATGCCCACCACGCATAATGGACCTTTACTAAAGTGTCAGCCAACGTTTCATAACCATAATCTCGAAATACACCGGAAAGTATGGCCAGTGTATTCAAAGTGGTGAATGGAACTATTACTATTAACCATCCGAAGATATCCAATTTTTCCGGTGTCAAGGTATGGAAATGATGTGAAATGCTTCTCTTAGGTGCTAATACTAGCTGCTGCGTTTCTACATCAACGTACATAATTCCAATTAAATACATCCCAATCCCCATATATCCAAATGCCCAAGGGAATTCGTTTAAAACTAAAAGTAGGTTTTTTTTTGGTGAATAGAGTTACCATTTTACTTTAATGAATTTCGATGTGATTAATGTCTTACATTCTTTCCATGCAAATTGTGGTAGGACATCCTTGAAAATTATTGTAGATGTAATCAATCGTGCTATTGTTGAAATAAAATATTAATTGTGATGATAAAGCTTTTATCCAGATCAAGATCGATTTTAAAATTAACCTGCTACGTGGATCAAATAATATGTTTCCACAGGTCTCGGTCGAAAAAGAGGTCTATTATTTGCTATTCCTGATAGCACTAAATTCGAAAACCTGGGTGAATATTTTTTATTGTGATGTTGCCTTCCAATGCTACCACCACGAGCGTTAAAGTTTCTTTCAAAATTTCCACTTTTGCCCTTTGTTCGATATATCAATAACGATATTAAACTAACGAGTACTAAGGCACAACCAATTATATTTGCTATATATAAGTTATGTAAATAATTGGCTTCGGGACAATTAAATATTTCGATACGAAAGTCACAAGCACAAGATTGTATGCTATTAGGTTTACTTTCATCATTAATGTTCATTGAGCACTCAAAGTTTGAGGTTATATTTTTCGCCATTTACTCTCGGTAAGGCATTAATGTTGTGTATAATATTCAAAAGCAAGGAAGCAAGAAATGAGTGAAATAATTCATTTGGACGCGCACAGGTTTTTCAAACAATACTAAAATGATTTTGTCTAAGTAACACAGCTAACCCATTGTCCCATTTATAAATAAAATACGGCATCTTGTCCAAAAAGATCAGGTTGTGTTGCCCGAATTTCCTTAACTGCTACATCTTTAACCATACTTAATATTCCCACGATAAGTTTAAATCAAAACAAGACGCTTTTGTGCGTCGTTATATACAGTAATACCTCTCTGAAATTTTTCAAATATTTTGTCATTCTGCTAATGTGTAGCCTTCCCAAAGAATTGCTTCACCAATTATCGAATTCGCAGGTGGGTCCAATAGTTCAATGAGTGCACCATCTGGAGAATAGGCAGCCAAAAGCATTGAGATTCGATAGCTTGTAATTTGTCAGATTTTAAATTGTATATTACGAGAACTTTTCGGCCTTGCATTTCTTCCAAAGGGATAGCAGATGTTAAATCTGATATTACGGTAGGAGGTTTATCAAATCCATCGCCGACGTCTACAGTTAAAATATAGGATTTGGTGGATGAATCTTTAAGAATTTTTGCAACCCGAAAAGGAAGAAGTCAAAATTTAATTTAAAATAAATAAATAAATCCCAAAAGAAATGATACCTATTCTTGATACGTCAATTGGTTTCTCAATGTTGTTAACGATATTATTACTTCTATCTCCATCTAGATTATGCTTCTTTCTTTGTAAATTTTACACTTAAATACCCTCTGTCAGTTTAACGAATTCTGAATTACTAGGTGAATATTTGGGCGCACAATTTGTGGCGTTGATCAATGAAAAATTTTTGTTTACCGAAAAATATTTACCATATTTTGATTGCAAAAACGTGCACATTTAATGAATCCGATGGTTCCTGGTCTGCAAGGGCTTCATCGGACGTGGATTCAAAATTGAACTTGATGACGAATCTACTGTCAATAGAAAACTTTCGTCGAGAGCTTGTAATACGGGGTAAAGTAAACTGAAAGGTTTAACTTGCCTTACTACTTCGGCGCCTGCTTTCTTGATATCATGTTCCGTTACTGTGATAGAGTCAATATTGATCCAAATTGTAATTAATAGCTTGAGTCAACTACCAATTGACTTTGATTGACAGTCTAAAAATAATAGTGTAACAATTTAGTCTAATTTATTTACATTGATGATCATTACCAACTTAAATACATAAAACGCGTTCCCATAATAATAACACAATTTAAATAATTTATTCTTTCATTTTACACAATTTAAATTATCATGGTGTATTTTCTCCTATCAAAAATAAGTACAAATTTATACTCTTTTTCAAGAAGGATACGCCTCTCACTGTTACTAGAACAAAGTAACAAAAAAAAGATATATAGTATTAAATATTTAAATTTGAAAAAAATATAATGAAACAAAATTATTTGGTCTAATGAATCAAAATTTATTAATTTTCTCCATAAATATTTATTTGAATAATATAAAAATTTAAATATATATACTTGAGAGTATGATAAATAACTTTATTTAAGATTACTTGAACACTTATCTTATTAAAATTTTTTAAATTTATATTTTTAAAATTAAAAATTTTAATAATAAGAAAACTTAAATAAATCATTATAAATAAATTTGATTATTATTTTGCAAATTAATCTTAAGTAAACTTGTTTACAAGATTATCAAGTATAAATTTAAAATTTTATATAATTTAAATAAATATTCATTGAATAACTAACAAAAAAAGATTAAAAAATTTTTTATAATCAATTTTTTCAAAAAAAATTTAATAAAAAAAATTTTAATTATAAAAAATTTTATTAAGTTATTAAATACTTTTAAGTAAACTTTTTCACTAGGTTATTAAGCATATATATTTAAAATTTATATAAATTAAATAAATATTTATTAAATATAATTAAAAATAAAATATTCAGTTTTTTTATTATATATTGTATTATATAATATATGATTATATTAGAATTATAATATTGTTTATAAATAATAATATGATTCAGTGCAAAAAGATTGATATATTAGATAAATATTAATAGATTATTTTTTCAAAATAAAATTTTAATCCTGTTTTATTTAATTAAATTATTAGATATTAGAATTTATTTAAATTTTTATTATATATCTTTTATAAAAAAAATTTTACTAATATAAACTTTTTGAATTATTATTTCTTAAATTTTATTATATAAATTTTCTTATTATTATCTTTTTCTTCAATTATATTTTCAGCTTATAACTTTTGATATTTTTTTTTGTCACTTGCTCTATCTTTTTGATTTCTTTTTTTACTATCTCTATTATTATTTTTGATATTACTGACTGATTATTTTTCACAACTTGCTAAATATCTAATATATAATAATTTTTAATATAAACTTTAAGTAAATTTAAAGTATTACTTATTTAATATATAAATAATTTTTAATATAAACTTTAAGTAAATTTAAAATATTACTTATTATAAATATATATATATATCTTGTTATTAATCTATCTTTGTATTTAATTTTTGAACTTGACAGACTAAGAAAAATATTACAAATAGCTAGAATAAATATGTAATATATTATTGATAATACTTTCTCTTTATATTATTTAAATATCATATAATTGATATTTGTAAGTAATTTATTATTATAAAAGAGATTTTTATATATAATTCAAGTTTTTTCACTTTTTTTTCATTTAGCAAGGTGAATAGTAAAAGTATTATTATTAACTCTTACTAATTTCTCTTCACTAAATATTAAAAAGATAGTATTTTAGATAATAAAAATATAGTTATTATATTTATTAAAGATAATATAATAAGTATATAATACTTATTTATTATCTATTATAACATATTGCAACTTCAAAATTTTATAAATCACAACTAGTTATAATTAGATAATATTTTATTTATCATTATATTGTAATAGTTGAAAAATTATTTTTAATATTTACTATAATATTTTACTTTTATCTAAAATTATCAAATAAAAATAATTAATAAAAAATCTATAAATTTATATAATTTATAATAAATTTGATGAATATATTACTTTATAAATATGAATATTTATATATTATAATTCATATTATTAATATAATCTTTAATATTTTCTGTTAAATATTTCTCTAACATTTGTTAGTACTTCTTGAAAATTAGAAAAAAAATATAGAAATTAACTTCTTGATTATTTTTTTATATATTTACTATATAGAATAATAAAAAAAAGAACTTTAGTAGATCTTATAAATTGATTTTTGACTATAAAAATAATTAAAAATAAGTATCTTTCAGAATATTTTGAATAGTTTATTTATAATAATTAATTTTTTAATTAATTTGATTTATTCTTATATTTAATTATCTAAAAATTAATAGAGATAATATATATTCTTGATTTTTTTATTTAGAATATTTATTATATAATTAAATTCTTTATAAATTAAAGATATTTTATTATTTAATACTTAAGTAAGTAAAAATTAAAGATAATATTATAACTTAATTACATAATTCTTTAATTTATTATTACAAGTTATAATTAAAATAATATTTTTAATAGAAATTAAGTTGATAATGAGAATATTCAATATTATTAATTTTTATTTTATTATTAAATAATAAATGATTAAATAAAATAAATTGATATATAAAAAAATAAGATAATAAAAGATGATAAGATCTATAATTTCTTTATACTTATTTTTATCACCTATTATATATAATAAAAAGAAATTAGCAAAAATATTTATTTATAATATTACCGTTTTAAGATTATGCATATATAATTATTTTAAAATAGTAATAGTGACTGTGTTCACAGTAATTATTTACTTTTATAGGTCCAAGAGGGTTATACAACTAACTATTTCCTAAATAAGATAATATGTGTAAGATTTATAACTGATGAATTACAATTATCTTCTCAATAAGATAATTTATACGTGTTTTACTTCTTAACAAAAA